ACATGTACCCGCTATAAGTATTAATAAAAAGCTCGGACCAAAGAGGTCACCTTAATACCAAAAAAAAAAAAAAAAAACTCAAGCTACAACTACTAAAACCTTATTAAAAACCAAGCCTAAAAACTTTAAACCCAAATTTAACAGAATTACTTATGAAAAAGCCATTAAAGCCACTCTCAATAAACTTACCAGTCCTCAACACTCTAGTGTATATGCAACTGCTCTTAAATTTGAGGTTGCAGAAACAACACTAAGGTGTGTAGTTAAGAAAAATAGTATGCTTAACCATCCTGGCCATTCTCCGATCTTAAGTAGCTATAAAGAAACACAACTTGTAGGCTACTGCCTGAATATGCAAAGTTTGGAATTCGGTTTAACAAGATCGGGTGTTAACCATTGTGTAATAGAGATTGTAAAAAGTAACAATTGTGAAAATCCTTTTATTAATAAAGGGCCCGATAAGAACTGGTAGGCATGTTTCATGAGAATGCATCCAGAACTCTCTTTTCGAATACCTTAGGCATTATCAAAAGCATGAGCACAGTGAGCTAATTCTGTCATAATAAAAGACTATTTTGATAAGCTTAGTAAAATAATTAAAGAAAATTCTCTTACTGCGGATCGTATATAGAATATAGATGAGACAGGGTTCATTATTTCTGCTAGAGTCCAAAAGGTACTTGCTAAAAAAGGTGCTTATCAAGTTCACAAAATTGCTTATGGCAATGTGCATGAGCACATATCCATTGCTTCAACTATTTCTGGTACTAGTAGTTATATACTAATATTATTTATCTATAAAGGTGTTTATGTGATTTCAGGCTTGCTAACTGGTGCTCCATCTGGTAGTATTATGGCTTTTATAGATTCTGGGTATATGAAAGAAAGTATATTTGAAATGTATATTAAACATTTTGTTAATTCAATTTCACCTTCTCATCTTGTTCTCCTAATTCTTGATAGGCATAAAAGTTATATTAATTATATATATATTAATTTTTGTTATAAAAACAACATTCTATTATATGCCCTTCTGCCATATACTATTCATATTCTTTAGCTAGCCGAAATTCTGTTTTCAAAACTTAAAAAAGAATATGATAAAGGTTGTAATAGGCTTCATAATATTAATGGCAAAATAGTAACAAAATATTCTTTCACCAGCATACTTGGGCTGGCATATATCAAAGCTTTTACATCTGAAGTGATTATGAATTTATTTAAAACTACAAGGATTTGGCCTTTCAACCCTGACACTATTAGTATTGATCATCTTAATCTCTCACTATCAACTAAAAAAACTGATTTTTTACTATCATTAACTAAACAAACTTTGTTATCACCTTCGTTACCAACATCTTCATTATCTTCATCCTCGTTACCATCAACTCTGTTATCTTCATTTTTATTATTATCATCTTTGTTACTATCTTCTTCATTATTTTCATCATCACACATATCTTTAGAATCTTTAAAAATAGAAAATGAACACCTTAAAAAAGAAATTAAACAATTAGAGAAAATGAAACAAAATTATATTACAATGCAAGAAGAGTTAGAGACATTTAAGAAACCTGGTACTTCATCATTGAAACTAATACTGAAATATCCTGCTTCATGCTTGTTGTCTGCTAATGAAAGTAAAACTAGAAAAGCTTCACATCAACCAAAAAAAAGAAAAACATTGCCATTTGCTTGACTTTTTACTAATGATGAATTATTAAAAGCTTTGAAAGAAGCAGACAATTTAGCAAAAAAGAAAGTTGAGAAAACTAAAAGAAAAAAAGAAGTAGCTGCTCAAAAGAAAGCTGAACATGAACTAAAAAAGGCACAAAAGTAAGCAACAAATCAAAGAACTAAAAAAATAAGATGTCTAAAAATATTACTGTTACTGTTGAGTGATTTGTATGACAGTTTTGCTGATTTTTTTTGGTTAGGCTATGTGATGTTAAGTAATGTTAGGCTTAATTATTATTAGGAATGATCCACTTCATTACTCTTTAAATGTAAAGTTTTAATTTTTTTGATGTTCTTAAATGAATAATAAAATAATATAAAAATTACTAGCAAAGTCCTTTTTTTATGATTAATTTAAAATACATTAGATGAAGTATAATTTTTATAAATTTTATAAATAAATATTTTTTTTTTTGAAAACTTTTACTAATAACTATTCTTAACTATGCCATTATACCTTTGGTTACTTTATATAATATTTTTTACTCTTTTAGCACAGTTTAAAATATAATTAGATTCTTAAAGCAGATTAAAGTATTGGTAATTTTATTAAAATAGTTATAAAGAAATATGTTTTTTGAAATTTTTATTTTTATTTTTATTTTTTTTAGTTTAGTTTAAATTAGTTTTTTTGTTTTTTTACAAAAAAGTATTATCAGATTGATAATATTCTATTGTAAGATAGTAGTTGAAAATAACCTTTTAGATAATAACTTATTATTGTCTAATGCAGTAAATTAATTTTAAATATTTTTAGAAGCAGTTAAAAGAGCTAAAACCTAGAAATTAAGTTTATATTATTATTAATAAAGTTGATATTTTTTAATAAAGATTATTAGTATAGCTATCTAAATAAAAAAATTATAAATATTTATTATTATATTATTGTATTATTATATTTTATTAGTTATTAGTTTTAGCTAATAATTATATTATAGTAATAGATAAAAGATCTTAATTGATTATTAGAATTGTATTAGTCAAATAATATTAAGTAATATTTATAATATTATTATTATCTTACAAATCTTAAATATTTTTATAAAATTTTATATATTTTAGTACAAAATTACTATATCAAATATTACAATACACGAATTCCAAATATCTTTGTACAAACTTTAAGTATTTCTATACAAAATTAAATATATTTTATAAATTCAAGTATCTTAATACATACTTTAAATGTTTTAAGCATAAATAACAAATATTATAAACATTTTTTTCAATTATCTTTATACAAAATAAGTATAATATTATTTAATATTACTTGAATTTTTATTATTTTTACTAAATAAAAAAATATATAAAAAGTATTTTTTTTATTATTAATTTTAAGTTTTTATACTTTAAACTAGACACAATTACTATTATCTCTTTAATTTATAAGTATAATATATATTTTTTAAAGTAATTCTTATAAGCAAGATTATTATTATATATTTGTTAATAAAAGTTAATCTATATACTGTTACTATTTTAAACTATTTGCTTACTATTATATAGTAAAGTAAATTATTATACTTTTAGCTTGTATATATTTACAATAATTAATTACTATATTAGATGATCTTGTTACTTAATTATATTGTACCAAGAAGGTTGCAACTTTGTAATAATTTTTTTTTTAGATTTTAAATTTTTAATTTACTTTTAATACTAAATTAATTTAAATAATTATTAAAAAAACTTATATATATATAATATAATTAAAAATTTTTTAAAAAATAAATAAAATATAGTAACTTAGTAAAATAAATAAATTGTCAATATTTAAATAATAAGTTGAATGTTCAAAAACTATTAATAGTAAAAATTTAAATAATTATTTATATAATACTTATATTATATCAACTGTTTTTAATAATTAAATTAAAATATCTGTAATAATAATTATATTAATATAACTAATAGGTTATAAAACATCTGTGTAATTGGTTATATGAAAAAATGCAAACTGATATCAAACAGTATAAGTTTTAAATAAGTTTTTGTAACTATATATATTTATTAAAATTAGAAAACAAAATTTTTTATTATATGTACAATTTTATAAAATATATAATTATAAAAAGATCGACGATCTCTCTCTTCTGACCACTTGCGTTTAGGGTTGAGAGTAATTTTGAAGAAACAAAATTAATCT